ACACATTAAATCTGTCCATAGCCACACACACACTGTCCCAGAAGAATTTAAAGTGGCCAGAGTTACTCCTATCTTCAAGAAAAATAGTAGGTCTGATGTCATCAACTATAGGCCTGTTAGTATACTCAGTGTGATGTCCAAAATTTTAGAGAAGGTGGTATACTTTCAAGTAGTTGAGTATCTTAATGACAAAAACATTCTCCATAGTTACCAGTCAGGTTTTAGGAGACCTCATTTAACCCACACTTTACTCATCAATTCGATGGACTACCTGAGAACTGTAATGTCACTAGGGAATTTTATAGGAATGGTAACCTTAGACTTGCAAATTGCCTTCAATACAGTCAACTTTAATATATTATGTTAGAAACTACAAGCTATCGGAATGAGTTCTGTAGAGTGGTTTAAGTCCTACCTGAGCAACATAAGAACATAAGAATGGAGCAACACTGCAGAAGGCCTACTGGCCCATGCGAGGCAGGTCCTTATCAAAACGACCTCTACCTTAAGCTACCCAAGAAATAACTCCCGTACCCAATGACACCAATCAAACCCAGCCCCTCCCACTCATATATTTGTCCAGTCTCTTCTTAAAGCTACCCAAGGTCCTAGCCTCTATCACCCAACTGGGAAGACTGTTCCACGCATCTACAACTCTGTTAGAAAACCAGTACTTACCTATGTCCTTTCTAAATCTAAATTTATCCAACTTAAATCCATTATATCTGGTTCTTACCTGGTTCGACACCCTCAGTACTTTATTAATATCTCCCTTGTTTATGCCCGTCATCCACTTATACACTTCATAAGAACAGCAGGAAACAAATTGGCAACAGGAAACAAATTGTCAAGATCAACAACACAGAATCAGAACCCCTACTGATAACATGTGGAGCTCCTCAAGATAGTACCCTGGGTCCTTTGTTATTCTTGTGTTATGTGAACAACATGCCTATCAGTGTCAAATGTAAGCTTCTGCTGTACACAGATGATAGTGCTCTGTTAGCATCAGGTAAAGACCCACAAGGCATTGCTAATGTACAATCACTATAAACATAAATTGAAAAAGGTAAATAATTTTAATGTCAGTGCAATGGGGAACCTATTATTACAGTAAATTCAGTGAAATATCTGGGAATTCCCTTTGACCCAAGTATGTCAGGAAAACTAATAGGAAGCAATATAATAGAGCAAGTTCCTCTACAGACAGACACAGTGTCTACCAGCTGAGGCTCGCAGGACCCTATGTCTAGCTCTCATGCAATGTATTACAGACTACTCTTGCTCTTCATGGTACTCTCCCTTAACAAAAAAACTGAAACATAAGCTACAAATCACCCACAACAAAATGGTGAGATTCAATCTGGACCTGGGTCCAAGAGAGCATGTAGGCCAGAATGAATTACAACAGCTGGATATGCTGAATGTTGAAGATGAGTAAATCAACTAAAGCTAAATTACGTTTATAAAATTGCTCACAACCAGTGTCCCCAATACATGTATCTTACTGCCAATTTTGTTAAGGCCGGGAACCAATGCAATTATAGAACTACGGGAAGGGAGAACAACTTTGCAGTACCTAGAGTCAGTGGTCAGGCTTCACACATTTTTCTACACAGCAATAAAAGAGTGGAACAGACTGCCTGCACATGTCAAAGCCTGTCATAGCATGAGCCAGTTCAAGAAGAGAGCCAAAATGTACCTCATGAATAAAGTTATAGAAAGGGAGGAGAGTGATTTCTTGTATGAAAATAACTAATATTACCTCTCCCCTCGTATATCTTCTTTTATTGTAACTGCTTTTACATAGTTAAGATACTTACTTTTTGCTGATGATACTGTGCTTATGGGAAATTCTAAAGAAAAATTGCAAAGATTAGTAGATGAGTTTGGGAATGTGTGTAAAGGTAGAAAGTTGAAAGTGAACATAGAAAAGAGTAAGGTGATGAGGGTATCAAATGATTTAGATAAAGAAAAATTGGATATCAAATTGGGGAGGAGGAGTATGGAAGAAGTGAATGTTTTCAGATACTTGGGAGTTGACGTGTCGGCGGATGGATTTATGAAGGATGAGGTTAATCATAGAATTGATGAGGGAAAAAAGGTGAGTGGTGCGTTGAGGTATATGTGGAGTCAAAAAACGTTATCTATGGAGGCAAAGAAGGGAATGTATGAAAGTATAGTAGTACCAACAATCTTATATGGGTGTGAAGCTTGGGTGGTAAATGCAGCAGCAAGGAGACGGTTGGAGGCAGTGGAGATGTCCTGTCTAAGGGCAATGTGTGGTGTAAATATTATGCAGAAAATTCGGAATGTAGAAATTAGGAAAAGGTGTGGAGTTAATAAAAGTATTAGTCAGAGGGCAGAAGAGGGGTTGTTGAGGTGGTTTGGTCATTTAGAGAGAATGGATCAAAGTAGAATGACATGGAAAGCATATAAATCTACAGGGGAAGGAAGGCGGGGTAGGGGTCGTCCTCAAAAGAGTTGGAGAGAGGGGGTAAAGGAGGTTTTGTGGGCGAGGGGCTTGGATTTCCAGCAAGCGTGCGTGAGCGTGTTAGATAGGAGTGAATGGAGACGAATGGTACTTGGGACCTGACGATCTGTTGGAGTGTGAGCAGGGTAATATTTAGTGAAGGGATTCAGGGAAACCGGTTATTTTCATATAGTCGGACTTGAGTCCTGGAAATGGGAAGTACAATGCCTGCACTTTAAAGGAGGGGTTTGGGATATTGGCAGTTTGGAGGGATATGTTGTGTATCTTTATATGTGTATGCTTCTCAACTGTTGTATTCTGAGCACCTCTGCAAAAACAGTGATAATGTGTGAGTGTGGTGAAAGTGTTGAATGATGATGAAAGTATTTTCTTTTTGGGGATTTTCTTTCTTTTTTGGGTCACCCTGCCTCGGTGGGAGACGGCCGACTTGTTAAAAAAAAAAAAAAAATACTTACCTGTTTTTAACTTTTAAATATAAATAATAATTATCATAAGGACCTCAATGTAAATAAGTCACTGACTTTTTTTGGGTTATACTAGATTCTCTACACATACACTGCTATATATGATAATGTAACTGTATTTGTGTATACCTAAATAAAATTAGTTACACCACCACTACTACTTCTCCCTCTCTTGGTCCCGTCTCAGTTAGCTCACCTATATATACTGGCTCCCTCTCTCTTTTTGTTAGTGTGACTTTGTAAATGATCCAAATCAGACAGAAACGTACAGGTTATTTGTGTATTATAACTATAATTAAGTTGATGCAGGTGCCTCTAAGTATCACTCATCACCACCTCCAACACCATTGTTTAAAAAGCTGGCGATTAAAACATTTACACAACCTTAGTTCATAAAATATAAGAACATACTTCCCTGAGACTGCCATGTGACACAGACATGAGATGAACCTGTCTCTGCTTTTAGAACCCTGCACCTGATTACCAACAACTCTTTCCAACCCCTATATATAGCCTATACTCTCTCCTATTTCTCATGTAACTTAAGCAATCAAAGTCCCAGGAACACAATGTTTTCAATAAAGCCAGTCTTCATGTATACATTCATGCCCATTTACCTCTCTAGTGGTGGGCAATCATTTGCCTTACTACAATAAATGTTGGAATGTTTTATTTATTATCACACTGGCCGATTCCCACCAAGGCAGGGTGGCCCGAAAAAGAAAAACTTTCACCATCATTCACTCCATCACTGTAAAGTTTTTCTTCTTCTCTTTTTTAGTAAATGTCTACAAGAGAAGGGGTTACTAGCCCATTGCTCCCGGCATTTTAGTCGCCTCATACGACACGCATGGCTTACAGAGGAAAGATTCTTTTCCACTTCCCCATGGACAATAGAAGAAATAAAGAAGAACAAGAGCTATTTAGAAAAAGGAGAAAACCTAGATGTATGTATATATATATGCATGTGCGTGTTTGTGAAGTGTAACCAAAGTGTAAGTAGGAGTAGCAAGATATCCCTGTTATCCAGCGTGCTTATGAGACAGAAAAAGAAAACAGCAATCCTACCATCATGCAAAACAGTTACAGGTTTCTGTTTCACAGTCATCTGGCAGGACGGTAGTACTTCCCTGGGTGGTTGCTGTCTACCAACCTACTACCTAGAATGAACATCAAAATGAACATCAAAATTATAACATTTGCACCAAGAGAGCTGGGAAGCACATGGCAGTCCTCTTGCCCACATATTGATTTTCTAAAATAAAAAAAAAATAAGGGTATACCAAGAGCATATGCCACACATAGGTGTCTGAATATTTATAGCAAAATATTATGTTAATTGTGATTGCACTATTGATATAATAAATAAAATATGAATAGAGGTACTCAGGTTAGTGACATGCGAGGACCACATTGCCCAAATACAGTACCATACTGCATATGTACCTCATTTTCTTCTACAAACTGTCTCCGGTTTTGACTACATCATTCAGGAAACAACAGGTTCACTGAAATAAGCTGTAAAATATAATAATTTGTGCATTAATAAAAACCAAAATACGTAAAACTTGATTTCTTTTAAGATTTCCATCCCATGTGAATTATTATTATAATCAAAAAGAAGCGCTAAGCCACAAGGACTATACAGCCATCCCATGTGGAAAAACACTAGTAACTGATAATATTTGTGAAAGACCCTCCTGTTAAAATATTGAGTTGCAAAATCTAAGCTCATAAATTTGGAAGGATTCAAATTCATTTTATTACTGTACAATATTTACTTATAAAACTTCATTGCAGCTAACTGGTGTTCCCAGAATCTCTTAATAAATATTACTTTGCTAACAACACGCTATAAAGCTTTATTCTGAAGCCCTGAATATCTTGTATGATCCTTGAGATAATTATGACCCATGCACTGCAAATTCAGAATTTTATTTCATGTCACTCTATTCAAGCCATGGTACCATGGTATCAATGTGTACAGATACCATTACATTACATTTAATATTTGGAAAGATAAAGAAAAGTAAATACAAGCATGAGTTTGTTAATCATTATTATTATTATAATTATTAGTCATTATAGATACCTAAGACCCTCCTTTTTTTAGCATGTTATGGAAGGCAGCTCCCTACCTCCACATAAGTGGGAATCACTGTAATGATGAGAGCATAAAATAATAGTTCACATCTCAGTCACTGTCTGATAAGTCAGAGTCACTGCTGCATCTATTTTTTCTGCTTAGATTTTTGTGTTCTTTCCTCTTTTGCTTTTTCTCCTTTTGCTTTTTGTTTTTCTTGTCTTTTTTCTTTTTCTTCTCTTTTTTATATTTATGTTTGTCTTTATTTTTGTGCTTTTTGGATTTTCGCTTTGATTCTTTTTCGACCCATAAGGACTGCTGCTTAGTCACCATGTTGTGTCCTGTCTCAAGTGTCTGCACCACAGCTGATGCTGTACTCGATGATGACTTGATCATCTGAAGTCTATTCTTTAGGTGTACTGGAACTGGAGGTCCATACTCATCCTCAGAATCAACTGATGAATCACTATCTATTTTCTTACTGCCAATGATACCTTCCTTGACTCTGTCTGTCATGTTGACTGTCTGATCTTGAGTGGCATGAATATCAGTATCCCTATAACTGTTAAGTTCTTTGAAGTCAATATTGGCAAAAATTCCCTCAGCAGGAGTAATTTCAGTAGCTGCAGAAATTTTTCTACGATTTATAAAAAGTGGCTTTGGCAAACCCTCAGTGTCCCCAGTGGAGTCATCTTTCTTTGGTTCAAACCTGCTTATACGAACTCTCTGTCCATCAGGTCTCTTAGCAGTAACTGGATCTTTGACTGTATCTATGACACTTTTACGTTCCCTTGAAATTTCTGAGGAATTGTCCACAGAGGTTGACATTACAACTCTGCTATCACCACTGTCCATCTCTGATCCAGATATATTTTTAGCCAAACAGCCCAGAGAATTTTCTGCCTTAGAGGACTCCAATTTATGACTAGATTTAAGACTAGATTCTTGTTGCCTTCTAAGACTCGTAGGTTGTTCCTCCTCACTCTCAGAGTTAGAGTCAGATCCTGAGTCTTGAAAGATGGCTTTAAAAAGATCCATTGTAGGTGGCCCATCCACTGGAACCTGAAAAAAAATAAAGTCTAAATAAAATAGTTCTAACTGCCATACAAACACCTGCACAGTATTTTTACAAATTCTTTTTCATATTTTTAATGAGTTATCAAAGCAGTAAAATTTTGGTTGTTACTGTTATCCTACATTTCATTTTTTCAAAGATAAAAATATCTCAATGTTTTCAATAACAAATTAAGACAATATAGGAGGACCTCATATGGCTCTTAACCCTTTCAGGGTCCATGCCGTAGATCTACGGCTTTGAGTTGAGGGTTCAAACCACAGATCTACGCCACAAGCTCAGCTCACTTTGATAAGCTGTGAGCGGTAAATTTGGGCCTAGATATGAGAGAATACATCTATGTGGTATGTGTGCACCACATATAACAAATCCTGCAGCACACAGTGCATAATGAGAGAAAAAACTGAGGCCGTAATTTTCGATTAAAACAGAAACTTTGCAGTTTTTTTTTTTATGTTTTTTATAGTTGTATTTGCAATTTCTTGGCCTCATTTGATAGAATGAAAAATATGTTACAGAAATAGAGATGATTTTGATTAGTTTTAGTACTGGAAATGGCTTGAAACTGAGCTCAAAATAGAGGAAATGTTAAATTTTTGCTGATGTTCAAGAGTAAACAAATGACCTCACACATCTAATACACACCAGCTGGTGGGTCTAATATATGTTCACAAATGTGGTGATATTATTTATACAATTATTACAACATTGCATAACAGTAAATCTTCTATTTTCTTGTTTTGAATAAAAATTCATTATGTGAATAAAAAATCAAAATGGAATTCATTTGTAAAGCCTGAAAATGTAACTAATGAACAGAGGAAATGTTAGTTTAGTGCCAGGAATGCCTGCATTGTTTATTCTGAACCCTGTTTTGAAATTGGAATATTTTGAACTTTGCGTTAAATTGGCCAAATTACCATTTTCCGATCACTTTATTTTGTAGTTGAAGCAGTTGATGTGGCAATTTCTTGTGCTCAATCGATAGAACAGAAGTAATACTAGTGAAATAGCTAAGAATTTGGTTGACTGGAATAATGTAATTGGCCTAAAATGGGAGTCAAAGTTGGCAAAATCACCGATGCATAAATATCGCTGACACATCAAAATTCGCGAGAGTATAAATTCGTCAATTTTCCATCAAATTTCATACTTTTTGTTTTATTACCTTCAGAAAAAGATTCTCTACCATTTCATAAGAAAAAAATAATTTTTTTTTTTTTTAAATTCTTGGACCTGGTGCACACTTTGAAATTTGGCCTCTGGACCCTGAAAGGGTTAAGTTCCCAACCCTGTACAGCAAGTGAAAATTGCCGGAAGGTGGAAAAGAGCATTTTTTTTATTATCAAACGTATGTTAAACACCAGATAACGTGTTCACACTATCATATGTTAAGCATAAAAAAAAAAACAGATAAAAAAGAAAAATAAATACACAGTGTACATACAATACAGTGGTACTTCGGTATATGTCTGCTTTCGAATAAGTCCAACTTGGTATACATCCTGTTTGGATGTGAAAATTTTGGCTTGGTATATGACCTCTGTTTAGAATACGACTCGCGTGCTAAAACTTGTATGGGTCAAAATGAGTCATGACACTGTGTGCTACCCTTGTTTACCTCTCTCTTGAGACAAAGCCAGGATATTGTCTCTCTGAGCAGATCCATGGGTCTGGATGTGAGTGATGGTGATGTGGAGGAGTTAGTGGAGGGGCACAGGGAAGAGCTGACCACTGAGGAGCTGCAGGAACTTGAGGAGGAGGAGCACAAGACTAAGATGGATGCACTCTCTTCAGGCTTGGAAGAGGAGATAGAGGAAGCCCCTACTTCATTAACCCTTTGACTGTCGCGGTGGTATATATACGTCATGGGAGATACCGTGTTTGACGTATCTATACGCATAAATTCTAGCGGCTTCAAATCAAGCGGGAGAGGGCTGGTAGGCCTACACGAGAGAGAATGGGTCTCAGTGGTCGGTGTGCACCCTGTGAAAAAAATCTGGGACTCAGCGGTGCATTGTGGGAACGCCATCTTGGTAGTCCATTTTCACCATGCCTCGCGGTAAGAAGTTCCTCACTCCTCGGCGGATTGGAAGTCTTTTATTCCCAAGTGATAGCTCAAACAGTGATGATAGTGTCAGTGAAAGTGAATTCCCTGGTTTTGAAGCGGGTGTGACCAAGAAAATTACCCAGGATAACATAATTAGTGATGAAAACCCAGATGACCCACAACCTTCCACCTCTGGCGCTGGGCCGGCTCGTTCATGTTCACCTGTACCAGGACGAAAGAGGAAACTATACGTGAGCAGTGCAAGTGATAGTGATAGTGATTTCAAGGTTATTGAAAGCAGTTCTAGTTGTGACAGTGAGGGTGAATATTCCCCAGTGAAGCGGCAGTATATACGACGTCGCATGCGGTCTGGTAGTGTGCCATATGCTCTTCCAAGAGGAAGGAGTACATCTCAGAGCACATCCCATGGCCCTACACCACGTCCTGATAGTGAAGATGACGATATTGTTACGATGGGTATAAATGATGTGAGTGAGGCAGCAGGCGGTGGTGGTGATAGTGATGGTGGCATGAGTCATGTGACAACAGCAGCGGGCCACGCTACTACCCGCGCTGCTGACTCTGCACAACTACAACCAGCCTCACCCGACCCCACACTCCCACAACCACAACCACAACCACAACCTGCACAACCACAACCACATTACAATATCCAGAACGCACCAGCTGACAGCATCTGGGATTGGCAGCAAGATGACGGGTTTGTTCCCAATCCCCATGACTTTGATGGAGGACAAAGTGGAATACGGCCATCATGTACACTTGGGAACAATCCCACTGAACTGGAATGCTTTCAGTTGTTCTTCGATGAACCCCTGATGGACATTGTTGTCAGGGAAAGCAATACATACTATGAGTACACCATGGCAAACACTATTCTGTCACCAAGATCACGCCTACACCAGTGGAAGGACACAACTGTGGCAGAGATGTATCTGTTCTTTGCCACAATAATGCTTATGCCACATGTGTATAAGCATACTGTCAACACATACTGGGCAACAGACCTCCTGATTTCAACCCCTGCTTTCAGTGACATCATACCAGTGAATAGATTTGTGTTACTGTTACGTATGTTACACTTTTCAGACAAAACCAGGCCTGACAGAAGCGACAGGTTATATAAGATCAGACGTGTGTTTATGTACCTGAAACAAAAGTGCTGTATGTATTTTTATCCCTCCAGGAAGCTTGTTATTGACGAGTCTTTGATTTTGTTCAAAGGAAGACTCTCATTCAAGCAGTATATACCAAGCAAGAGGAAACACTTTGGTATAAAGTTATTTGTTCTGTGTGATTGCAAAACTGGTCTGGTTTTGGATATAATTGTGTACACTGGCGGTAAAATAATGGAAGATATCAGGAAGTTAATCATAGAATTGATGAGGGAAAAAAGGTGAGTGGTGCGTTGAGGTATATGTGGAGTCAAAAAACATTATCTATGGAGGCAAAGAAGGGAATGTATGAAAGTATAGTAGTACCAACACTCTTATATGGGTGTGAAGCTTGGGTGGTAAATGCAGCAGTGAGGAGACGGTTGGAGGCAGTGGAGATGTCCTGTTTAAGGGCAATGTGTGGTGTAAATATTATGCAGAAAATTCGGAGTGTGGAAATTAGGAGAAGGGGGTGGAGTTAATAAAAGTATTTGTCAGAGGGCAGAAGAGGGTTGTTGAGGTGGTTTGGTCATTTAGAGAGAAGGATCAAAGTAGAATGACATGGAAAGCATATAAATCTATAGGGGAAGGAAGGCGGGGGAGGGTCGTCCTCGAAAGGGTTGGAGAGAGGGGGTAAAGGAGGTTTTGTGGGCAAGGGGCTTGGACTTCCAGCAAGCGTGCGGAGCGTGTTAGATAGGAGTGAATGGAACGAATGGTACTTTGGGACCTGACGATCTGTTGGAGTGTGAGCAGGGGAATATTTAGTGAAAGGGGTTCAGGGAAAACCGGTTATTTTCATATAGTCGGACTTGAGTCCTGGAAATGGGAAGTACAATGCCTGCACTTTAAAGGAGGGGTTTGGGATATTGGCAGTTTGGAGGGATATGTTGTGTATCTTTATATGTGTATGCTTCTAGACTGTTGTATTCTGAGCACCTCTGCAAAACAGTGATAATGTGCGAGTGTGGTGAAAGTGTTGAATGATGATGAAAGTATTTTCTTTTTGGGGATTTTCTTTCTTTTTTGGGTCACCCTGCCTCGGTGGGAGACGGCCGACTTGTTGAAAAAAAAAAAAAAAAAAAAATCAGGAAGTTACTGGGTATCTCTGGTGATGTGGTTAGAACAATGATGGAGCCATATCTTGGTAAGGGGCATATTTTATATACTGACAACTGGTACACAAGCCCTATACTCAGTGATTTCTTGCGAGTGAACATGACAGATGTGTGTGGCACAGTGCGTAGAAATCGTAAACATATGCCTAGGTTCGATGCTGGCAGTCGTAGAGGTGAAGTGCAGGTGTTTGTGCCCAAAGACATCATGGCCTTTCGGTGGCATGACAAACGTGATGTCACACTGCTGACTTCAGTTCACCGACACGAAATGGTAGACACTGGCAAGCAGAATAGAGAGACCAATGGAACCCATTGAAAACCTGCAGCTGTGATGGGTTACCCAAACCCCAATATGCGCTTAGTGGACAAATATGACATGCAGATTGGGTTTGCTGACTGTGTTCGCAAGAGTTTTAAGTGGACATAAAACTGTTTTTCCATCTTCTTGACATTTCCATGCTGAATGCTTATAATATGTATAAGTTGAAGACCAAGAAAACCCCAAAAATGGTGAATTTTGTTTGTCAGTCATCAAAAATAATATTCAAGTACAAAAAACAACACCTGCAATAGACCAGCGCCCACGAAATTCAACACATGCCCTCTCTCTGGGGCCCTGGTGGTCAAAACCCCATACCACCCCTGCTACTACTGCCAAGAAAAATGTCAAAGAGGGTTTTTTTTTGTAGACCAGAGACACCGTTTATGTGTGAGGGTTAATACACCATTGGCTTTTTTTCAAAAAATTCCACAAGGCGATTTAGAAAAGTGCCAGTGATTGTACATTGTATATATTATAAAACAATGAATAAACATTTTTTTTACATTGTTTGTTTGTGTAAACAAGTTTTAGAAAACATTAAAATGATACGAGTGTTTTTGTATAATTGTTACATTCAAATGTATTTTTAACATGCACAAAAATTTGGTCTCACAGGCCCCAAAAATTATGTGAAAAAATAAAATAGTGAAAAAAACAAGAAACCATCGAATACAAGTAAATCAAAGTTTACCGGGTGAGCGGCAGTCGCCGCTGTTGCCGCTTGCAGATCAATTTCAGCAAACTTCGGGACTCTATATCTCGGTAAGTACTGATGGGAAAAATTTTTTGGGGGGACTAAAACAATCAGAAAAATAATCTTAACATTTTCATAAGAAAAAATAATTTTTTTTTTCGAATATTTTGCGACACCAGGAGACACTTCAGGATTGGGCCCTTCGACAGTCAAAGGGTTAATCAAGGAAATCTTTGCCAAATGGACAGACATCAAAAATTTTGCAGAGAAATACCACCCCAACAAAGCACAAACAAGCCATAATAGCATTGTCTGGAATGACCAGACAATGTCACATTTCTGAAATATCCTGAGGAGAAGGCAGAAGCAAAGTTCTTTGGACAGATTTTTAGTAAAAGTCGAACCTGGTGAGCTTCAACCAAGTCCAAATAGAAAAAAAAGACAGAAAAGAGAAGAGGACTCTCCTTCCAAACAATAACATTTCCTCCTCCTCCCTTCTCAGCACTATCCTAGTAGGCATTCAACTCTTTTCAGCAAAGTCAAGTGAGGTTAAATTTTCATTTATTTCATCTGATTCTTTTGTATTTATGTATGTATTTTAGTATTAAGCAGTGTTTAAATTATTTAATACAACCAATACCAATAGGATTTTTTCATGGGAATGGATTAATCATTTTCCCTATATGTATGTACTTATTATGGGAAAATTTGTTTGGAATACGTCCTGTTTGGTATAAGTCTAAGGCCCTGGAACGGATTAAGGACATATACCGAGGTACCACTGTATTTACCTTAAAATACTGTGCTGGTTGCTCTTCCTTTATGTTACTGCTGTAAGAAATTGGCAGAAAAGTGGTAAAAGTACCAAACATAATGAACAATGGCTCAACTGAAAGCCAACAAAAATGTGGAACACCGAAAAGAGGGAGCTGGATATGTGAGGCCCTCCTGTATATGAAAAACTTATTTGTAAAGCTTGCCAGCAATTTAACCCTTTCAGGGTCCAGACCCCCAATCTGAAACTTGTCCAGTCCAAGAATTTAAAAAAAAAAAAAAATTTCTTATGAAATGGTAGTAAGTCTTTTTCTGAGGGTAATTACAGTGAAACATGTAAATGAACAGTATTTAGATAAGGCTAAAGAGGTCTTTGTGGCATTTATGGATTTGGAAAAGGCGTATGACAGGGTGGATAGGGAGGCAATGTGGCAGATGTTGCAGGTGTATGGTGTAGGAGGTAGGTTACTGAAAGCAGTGAAGAGTTTTTACGAGGATAGTGAGACTCAAGTTAGAGTATGTAGGAAAGAGGGAAATTATTTCCCTGTAAAAGTAGGCCTTAGACAAGGATGTGTGATGTCACCGTGGTTGTTTAATATATTTATAGATGGGGTTGTAAGAGAAGTAAATGCGAGGGTCTTGGCAAGAGGCGTGGAGTTAAAAGATAAAGAATCACACATAAAGTGGGAGTTGTCACAGTTGCTCTTTGCTGATGACACTGTGCTCTTGGGAGATTCTGAAGAGAAGTTGCAGAGATTGGTGGATGAATTTGGTAGGGTGTGCAAAAGAAGAAAATTAAAAGTGAATACAGGAAAGAGTAAGGTTATGAGGATAACAAAAGCATTAGGTGATGAAAGATTGGATATCAGATTGGAGGAAGAGAGTATGGAGGAGGTGAATGTATTCAGATATTTGGGAGTGGATGTGTCAGCAGATGGGTCTATGAAAGATGAGGTGAATCATAGAATTGATGAGGAAAAAAGGGTGAGTGGTGCACTTAGGAGTCTGTGGAGACAAAGAACTTTGTCCTTGGAGGCAAAGAGGGGAATGTATGAGAGTATAGTTTTACCAATGCTCTTATATGGGTGTGAAGCATGGGTGATGAATGTTGCAGCGAGGAGAAGGCTGGAGGCAGTGGAGATGTCATGTCTGAGGGCAATGTGTGGTGTGAATATAATGCAGAGAATTCGTAGTTTGGAAGTTAGGAGGAGGTGCGGGATTGCCAAAACTGTTGTCCAGAGGGCTGAGGAAGGGTTGTTGAGGTGGTTCGGACATGTAGAGAGAATGGAACAAAACAGAGTGACTTCAAGAGTGTATCAGTCTGTAGTGGAAGGAAGGCGGGGTAGGGGTCGGCCTAGGAAAGGTTGGAGGGAGGGAGGGGGTAAAGGAGGTTTTGTGTGCAAGGAGCTTGGACTTCCAGCAGGCATGCGTGAGCGTGTTTGATAGGAGTGAAAGGAGACAAATGGTTTTTAATACTTGACGTGCTGTTGGAGTGTGAGCAAAGTAACATTTATGAAGGGGCTCAGGGAAACCGGCAGGCCGGACTCGAGTCCTGGAGATGGGAAGTACAGTGCCTGCACTCTGAAGGAGGGGTGTTAATGTTGCAGTTTAAAAACTGTAGTGTAAAGCACCCTTCTGGCAAGACAGTGATGGAGTGAATGATGGTGAAAGCTTTTCTTTTTCGGGCCACCCTGCCTTGGTGGGAATCGGCGGGTGTGATAATAAGAAAAATAATAATAATAAAACAAAAGTACGAAATTTGATGGAAAATTAATGAAATTACGGTATTGCAAATTTTACTGCATCAGCGATATTTATGCTTCAGCAGTTCTGCCCACTTTGAGTCCTATTTTAGGCCAATTACATTGTTCCATTCGACCAAATTCTTAGCTATTTCACTAGTATATTTTCCATTTTATCGACCGAGTACAAAAAAACACCCAATCAGCCATTTCAACTACCCAGTAAAGCGATCAGAAATTGGTAATTTGGCCAATTTCACACAAATTTCAAAATATTCCAATTTCAAAATAGGGTCCAAATAAACAATGCAGGCATTTGTGGCACTAAAATAACATTTCCTCTGTTCATCAGTTATGTTCCCAGGCTTTACACATGAATTTCATCTTTAATTTTTATTCACACAAAAAAATAGAAGATATACTATGCAATATTTTAATAATTGTATAAATAATATCAGCACATTCGTGAACACATATCACGGGTGACATGATTTGTTTACTCTTGAATATTGGCAAAAATTAAACATTTCTGCTACACTGAGCTCAATTTCAAGCTATTTTCAGTCCAGAAACCAATCAACAACTATTTCTGTAATATATCTTCCATTCTATCAAATGAGATCAAGAAACCGAGAATACAACAATAAAAACTATACAAAAATACACCACAAAGTTTTAAACCAAAAACACAGTTGGAGTTTTTTTCTCATTATGCACTGCGTGCTGCAGGATGTTTTTTTATATGGTGCACACTTACCACACAGACCAATTCATATCTAGGCCCAAATTTGAATTACCCAGAATGAAACTTTATACTTTTATATGTTAAAGCATAATTAATATATACATATAGCTGAAAAATACATTACATATAAAGAAACAAACCTTCAGACCAAAGGTTTCTGGTTTAGTATTAAGATCTTCATCTTCTGAGGTTTCTTTTCTTTCTTTGTCTCTAGGCGAGGGTGAAACGTCTCGGTTACCAGCTGTTTCCTCTACTGGTGCGTTGAGGAAATTGAAAATTGAAAACTTCTCTCTCTTGGATTTGTTAATACCAACAAATGAAGATCTGTTAAATAAATTTATTATTAAGATAAATCTTTCTAGTAGCTAATTTGATTTAGTTTGAGTTGGTACATATGTTAACTGAAATAATACAATTTTCTGCAGTTTCACATTCAAAGGATCAACATCAAGTATATATAAAAACAAGCAACAACTAAGAACAAAAAAAAAAAAAGGGATCCACAATGCACTTATAAGGAAAAGGAACTTGTCAATAGTCTGTATAACCTCTGTAATAAACTCCCAGACCACTTTTCTTCTAGTCAATCTTATGTCTATTTTCTCCTGCACACATACACACTCTTAGCTGTATACATCACACAGTGTGCATGCCTCATGCACACCCCTCTGTACATCACAGTGAGGAACAGCTGACACAGGAAGGTAGTGAACACTGTAGTTCACAGAACCTTCAGAGAAAGCCATTTCTCTGAAGGTCCTGTGAACTACAGGTTCCATGAACCATTTATAGGAATCCTACCGCCAGTACTCAAGATTATGTTTAACATGCTCACACAAGCCTGTTGGATGCTCAAGCCCCAAGCACACAAAATCTCCCTCCCTCCAACCTTTCCTGAAACTAACACATAACCCTTTTTCTATCCATTACAGAATCATACACCTTCTTTGTCATCCTATTCTACTCCATCTTCTCTAAATGCCCTAACCACCTCAATGACCCCTCCTCAGACCCCTGAAATATACTTCTGGTAACCACACACCATCTTCTAATTTCTATGTTTTGAATTATCTGCATAATGTTCACACTACACATTGTTCTCAAGCATTACATCTCCACTTGTGCATGAGAAATGTGCAGTGACCAATGAAGGCAACAAAGGCAGTACAAGTGAACAGGAAATAACTAAGGGAGAACATACTGGGTGAAAAGTATCTTGGAAGTATATTATTGGTGTTATAGATGTTATACCTGCAAGCTGCTAGTATTGTACTGTATATTAATTGTGTTACAGATGCTACACCTTCAAGTTACTAGTAATATATTGTATATTACTGTTGTTATAGATGCTACACCTGCAAGTTACTAGTAATATATTGTATATTACTGTTGTTATAGATGCTACACCTGCAAGTTACTAGTGATATATTGTATATTACTGCTGTTATAGATGCTACACCTGCAAGTTACTAGTAATATATTGTACATTACTGGTGTTATAGATTCTACACTTGCAAATTACTGTGACATAACACTTGGTGTTATGTAACCACTGTGATGTAACACTTGGTGTTACGTATCCACTGTGATGCAACACTTGGTGTTATGTATCCACTGTGATGCAACACTTGGTGTTATGTATCCATTGTGCTGTAACACTTGGTGTTATGTATCCACTGTGCTGTAACACTTGGTGTTATTTATCCAATGTGATGTAACACTTGGTGTTATGTATCCAGTGTGATGTAATACTTAGCGCTATGTATCTACTCTGCTGATAAAAATTAATTGGTTTTCAGGAGTGTATTTTTTTAAGTAAGTAAAACAAAAAAGTTACAACAGTGGATTAATTGAAACTTACAGTTTATTGTGTACTGAAGTTGGTAAAAAAATGATCACTTGTCAGTAACAGCAACAAATCCATCAGTGATACATAAGTTTCAACAATTTTTAATGCCAAATTATGATGCATTTTCACTTTTTATTGTTTTAAAGACTTAAAACTTTTTTTTAACACATCGGCCATTTCCCATCAAGGTAGGTTGACCCGAAAAAGAAAAAAACACTTTCATCATCATTCACTCCATCATTGTCTTGCCAGAGGCATGCCTACACTACAGTTAAAAAACTGCAACATATCAACACCCTTCTTTCAGGGTGTAAGCACTGTACTTCTCACCCCCAAGACTCAAGCATGGCTTACCAGTTTCCCTCAATCCCTTTATAAATGTTACCTTGCTCACACTCCAACAGCACGTCAAGTCCTAAAAACCATTTATCTCCACTCGCTCCTAACACACTCATGCATGCTTGCTGGAAATCCAAGCCCCTCGCACACAAAACCTCCTTTACCCCATCCCTCCAACCTTTCCTAGAATGACTCCTACCCTGCCTTCCTTCCACTACAGATTTATATGCTCTCCAAGTCATTCTATTTTGTTCCATCCTCTCAAAATGTCTGAGTCACCTCTACAAACCCTCCTCAACCCTCTGGATAATACTCTTAATAAACCCGCACCTCTTCCTAATTTCCAAACTATTCCAATTTCTTCAGATATTAGATGTGTTCCAAGGTGTTTTAGTACTTTAAACATGGGTAAATCCATAGCCCAACATTACTCCACTTGAATCATACATTATATAGTAAACTGGTGCAAATAATTTTTTTTTATTTTTTTACTGCTTTGTTCTTTTAACACAATATACAAGGAATACTTATTATGTTACAATTGTTTGAAGGTGTAATACTAATCTCTAAGACAGTAGACATACTATCTTTGCACTGTATCACTCACTCATCTACCCTTATCTCACATATGGAATTTGTGCATGGGGGTCAACAACATCAAATCACCTAAGGCCTCTAATAACCCAGCAAAAGGCTGCAATCAGAATGATAACAAATTCCCACTCGTGACAGCATACTCCACCTCTATTCAAGTCTAAATTTGCTCACCATAAAGAACATCCACACTTATTCATGTGCCTACTACATACATAGAACAATACACGCAAACATAACTCCTCCACTCAAACTTCTCACCAACCTTAACAGGATACACGGCCATAACACAAGACACAGATCTCTTTTTGATGTACCCCGCGTCCATATCACACTGTGTAAAAACTCTATGCACATAAAGGGCCCCAAAATCTGGAATTCATTACCAGAACATACTAAAGAAACCAGGCCTGAAAATCATTTTAAGACTCTTCTAAAAAAACCACTTACTCGCCCAGGACTAAATAATCAACACTCAATATTTAACATTACCAATAATTCTCCCAATTACTTAAATCTTAAAACTTCAAGACAACATATAGTAAATTGATCATCTTGTTTGTTATACATTGTAATGCGACAAATTTGTACAACTATAATGCTTCATTATCAAAATGTTCAAATTTCATTGTTTCAAATACTCAATTGAACTTCATATTGTAAATTGTTTACTGTAGTTTTTACCACTGAACCTTTCATTGCTTGTTAATTTTAAGTTAATTTTAATCCTGCCTATAATGCTCTGCATACAAGGAGCTTTTGGCATGTACACCCAACTACTATAATTCCTTGTACAACTATGTATCATGTCCAAATAAACTATATGAATATGAATATGAAAGTCACATTGAACTACTATTAATTTGAACATACCAGCCATTTCCCACTGAGGCAGGTGACCTGAAAAAGAAGAAACAAAAGCTTTCCTTTTTACATTTAATAATATATACAGGAGAAGGGGTTACTAGCCCCTTGCTCCCGGCATTTTAGTTGCTTCTTACGACACGCATGGCTTACGGAGGAAGAATTCTGTTCTACTTCTCCATGGGTTTTCCTGGGTTAATTATTTTTTATTCTTTTTAACACTCCAGTCATCTCCCACAAAGATAGGGTAACTTGACAAAGAAGAAAACATTTTCACTATCACTCACTCAATCACCATCTCACCAGAAGGGTGCTGACATAACAATTCAGAGAGAACATGCTGGGTTAAATAAACAAAGTAATTTCTATGTGCACATAATATCTGTGTGCTTTCAAGATCATTGTAAGACACCTTTATATGGAAATAAGTCACATCGTTTGACTATACTGGTTTATCCTAGGTTAAATCTACATACCCTAGGTAATAGGTTGGTAGACAGCAACTGCCCAGGGAGGTACGTACTACCGTCCTGCCAAGCGAGTGTAAAACAAAAGCCTGTAATTGTTTTACATGATGGTAGGATTGCTGGTGTCCATTTTTCTGTCTCATAAACATGCAAGATTTCAGGTACATCTTGCTACTTCTTCTTACACTTAGGTCACACTACACATACATGTTTTTTTTTTTTTTTTAACAAGTAGGCCGTCTCCCACCGAGGCAGAGTGACCCAAAAAAAGAAAGAAAATCCCCAAAAAGAAAATACTTTCATCATTCAACACTTTCACCACACTCACACATTGTCACTGTTTTTGCAGAGGTGCTCAGAATACAACAGTTGAGAAGCATACACATATAAAGATACACAACATATCCCTAAAAACTGCCAATATCCCAAACCCCTCCTTTAAAGTGCAGGCATTGTACTTCCCATTTCCAGGACTCAAGTCCGACTATATGAAAATAACCGGTTTCCCTGAATCCCTTCACTAAATATTACCCTGCTCACACTCCAACAGATCGTCAGGTCCCAAGTGCCATTCGTCTCCATTCACTCCTATCTAACACGCTCACGCACGTTTGCTGGAAGTCCAAGCCCCTCGCCCACAAAACCTAGTTTACCCCCTCTTTCCAACCCTTTCGAGGACGACCCCTACCCCGCCTTCCTTCCCCTATAGATTTATATGCTTTCCTTGTCATTCTACTTTGATCCATTCTCTCTAAATGACCAAACCACCTCAACAATCCCTCTTCTGCCCTCTGACTAATACTTTTATTAACTCCACACCTTTTCTTAATTTCCACACTCCGAATTTTCTGCATAATATTTACACCACACATTGCCCTTAAACAGGACATGTCCACTGCCTCCAACCGTCTCCTCGCTGCTGCATTCACCACCCAAGCTTCACACCCATATAAGAGTGTTGGTACTACTATACTTTCATACATTCCCTTCTTTGCCTCCATAGATAACGTTTTTTGACTCCACATATACGTCAACGCACCACTCACCTTTTTTCCCTCATCAATTCTATGATTAACCTCATCCTTCATAAATCCATCTGCCGACACGTCAACTCCCAAGTATCTGAAAACATTCACTTCTTCCATACTCCTCCTCCCCAATTTGATATCCAATTTTTCTTTATCTAAATCATTTGATACCCTCATCACCTTACTCTTTTCTATGTTCACTTTCAACTTTCTACCTTTACACACATTCCCAAACTCATCCACTAACCTTTGAAATTTTTCTTTAGAATCTCCCATAAGCACAGTATCATCAGCAAAAAGTAACTGTGTCAATTCCCATTTTGAATTTGATTCCCCAAAATTTAATCCCACCCCTCTCCCGAACACCCTAGCATTTACTTCCTTTACAACCCCATCTATAAATATATTAAACAACCATGGTGACATTACACATCCCTGTCTAAGACCTACTTTTACCGGAAGTAGTCTCCCTCTCTTCTACACACCCTAACCTGAGCCTCACTATCCTCATAAAAACTCTTTACAGCATTTAATAACTTACCACCTATTCCATATACTTGCAACATCTGCACATTGCTCCTCTATCCACTCTATCATATGCCTTTTTCTAAATCCATAAATGCAATAAAAACTTCCCTACCTTTATCTAAATACTGTTCACATATATGCTTCAATGTAAACACTTAATCTACACATCCCCTACCCACTCTGAAACCTCCTTGCTCATCCGCAATCCTACATTCTGTCTTACCTCTAATTCTTTCAATTATTTACTCTACCGTACACTTTTCCTGTTATACCCAGTAAACTTATTCCTCTATAATTTTTATAGTCTCTTTTGTCCCCTTTCCCTTTATATAAAGGGACTATACATGCTCTCCGCCAATCCCTAGGTACCTTCCCCTCTTTCATACATTTATTAAACAAAAGTACCAACCACTCCAACATTATATCCCCCCTGCTTTTAACATTTCTGTCATGATCCCATTAGTTCCAGCTGCTTTACCCCCTTTCATTCTACGTAATGCCTCACGTACCTCCCCCACACTTACATTCTGCTCTTCTTCACTCCTAAAAGATGGTATACCTCCCTGACCAGTGCATGAAATTACTGCCTCTCTTTCTTCCTTAACATTTAAAAGTTCCTCAAAATATTCTCACCATCTACCTAATACCTCCATCTCCCCATCTACTAACTCCCCTACTCTGTTTTTAACTGACAAATCCATACTTTCCCTAGGTTTTCTTAACTTGTTTAACTCACTCCAAAAATTTTTCTTATTTTCATTAAAATTTCTTGACAGTGCCTCTCCCACTCTATCATCTGCTCTCCTTTTGCACTCTCTCACCACTCTCTTTACCTTTCTTTTACTCTCCTTATAACACTTCTGCTTTGTAAAAACCTCTCATAAGCTACCTTTTTCTCTTTCATCACACCCTTTACTTCATCATTCCACCAATCACTCCTCTTTCCTCCTGCCCCCACCCTCCTATAACCACAAACTTCTGCCCCACATTCTAATACTGCATTTTTAAAACTATTCCAACCCTCTTCAACCTCCCCACTACTCATCTTTGCACTAGCCCACCTTTCTGCCAATAGTCGCTAATATCTCACCCGAACTTAGTTTATACACTTTCACCTCCCTCTTACTTGTTGTTGCCACCTTCCTCTTTTCCCATCTACCTCTTACTCTAACTGTAGCTACAACTAAATAATGATCCGATATATCAGTTGCCCCTCTATAAACATGTACAAGCATATATATATATGTACACACCCCTCTGGGTTTTCTTCTATTTTCTTACTAGTTCTTGTTCTTGTTTATTTCCTGTTCTCTCCATGGGGAAAGTGGAACAGAATTCTTCCTCCGTAAGCCATGCGTGTTGTAAGAGGCGACTAAAATGCCGGGAGCAATGGGCTAGTAACCCCTTCTCCTGTATATATTACTAAATGAAAGGAGAAGCTTTCGTTTTTCCTTTTGGGCCACCCCGCCTCGGTGGGATACGGCCGGTGTGTTGAAAGAAAGAAAGAAGAAATCTACATACTGCAGTGTGCTGTTTGGCTGAATTCCACTGCTAGTATTATAAAACTGTCCTAAATTTGAAGTGAATAAGGCGGTGGTACCCATGATACACCATATAGACCCATCTGGTCTTAGATTTTTTTCAAAGGTATGATGCAGTTAGGATGGGGTCTACAATATTAACAGGTGGTGCATCTGAATGCATGAAAAAATTGTGCATTCTAGTATTCTGGACCCATCCTTGTCTCCTGCACACCAGTACGCTGGTCACAGTTTAGGGCTAATGACAACAAACATATGGCAAAGCACTATACAAAGCCACTAATAGGAGGAAAGTTCTCAATGAGAAAAAATAAAAGATTTGTAAAGCCAACAATTACAGCACAACTCACTCTGGATATGGGTTAGGAACGTTAAATCTTCGACACAGAAGACGATCTGGATGCCATTCCACCACTGACTGTGTCAACTTGCCAAACATGCCCATTTTGGCAGCTTTAATTCTTTCATCAGTAACATTGTGACCCAAGGCATCAACATTTCCATCATTAGTGGCTGCATCCATCTGAAGCACATAATTAATTGTATTCTGGTTACTCTGCTTTCATAATCTTTATATTGCAGATGCTATGCTCCTTCAGGAAAATTTAACTGATATTATGGCACACTAATTCCACCCTAAATAATTTAAGCCAAAGTCATTAAAGCTCTAAAGCATCTACAATAGTAGAAAAATAATTCTATACATACACAGTAATATAAGTCAGCATGCCTTTTCATTTGTAACATCTTACATAAAAAAAAAAAAATTGAAATCAAGGTCGTACTTTTGGGATGTTTATGTTGAGTCCATCCTTCAGGAGTGGTCCAGAGTCTGGTGTTGCAGCACTCACAAATCTGCAAGTCAACCAATGGTAAATATTCCCTTATAAATAATTTACATTTCCAGAAAAAAAAAATGAAACTAATAGTATTTTTCTAGTCATAATAAAGTGCAATAACAATTCATTGCCTACAAAAGCTTACAGGAGCTCTCATAAGTGTCTGAGTTAGACTTAAGTTGGAAGGTATAGAGCACTTCTGTGATTTTCAGCTCCACATGTGAAGGGTAACAGGCTAACACTTTAAAAGACACTTCACTCATGGGGTGGTTTTGCATGTGTGCATGTACCTTTATCATTGAATATTACGGCTTGCCTAGCAGCTGATAGTTCTAAAAGATTTACCCATATGCTCGGCAATTTGGGCAATGAGCTGCTTAACATACAAGTAAATCTTTCAGAACTACCAGGCAAGTCTTCATATTCAGTGACTAAGGAACATGTACATGCACAAGATCACCATATTAGTGAAGCATCTTTAAAAGTGTTAGTCTGTTGCTCTTCACACATGGCACTGAAAATCACAGAAGCTCTCCATACCAACTTAAGCCTAACTTAGGCACTTATGATAGCCTCTTTTGTTTTTAATGATAATTTTTATTTTGAACTTTGGAATAAATTTTACAAGGTTCTTTAAGAAAATGTATATCATTCCATATTTGTATCTACAGGGATAGAGCTAAGCACATAGAGTCCTATCTTCAGTATATAGTCTGCCATTAGAATATCAAAAGTTTCCAGTAATGGTAGCATTTATCTCTTGTAAACCATTCCAGTCCTAGGTAGTAGGTTGGTAGACAGCAACCGCCCAGGGAGGTACTACCGTCCTGCCAAGTGAGTGTAAAACTGAAGCCTGTAATTGTTTTACATGATGGTAGGATTGCTGGTGTCCATTTTTCTGTCTCATAAACATGCAAGATTTCAGGTATGTCTTGCTACTTCTACTTACACTTAGGTCACACTACACATACATGTACAAGCATATATATACACACCCCTCTGGGTTTTCTAATATTTTCTTACTAGTTCTTGTTCTTGTTGTTTATTTCCTTACCTCCATGGGGAAGTGGAATAGAATTCTTCCTCCGTAAGACATGCGTGTTGTAGGAGGCAACTAAAATGCCGGGAGCAAGGGGCTAGTAACCTCTTCTCCTGTATATATTACTAAATGTAAAAGGAGAAACTTTTGTTTTTCCTTTTGGGCCACCCCGCCTCGGTGGGATACAGCCGGTGTGTTGAAAGAAAGAAAGAAACCATTCCAGTCTTTTATCATTCTGATGAAGACTTACTTAAGTTAAATTATAACAATGTCACCAAACAGGGCTATGTAATACTTAGCTGACTGAAAAAGCTGGCCTACTAACATATGTATTACATATCAATATTTCCTAAGTATTTTAAAGTAAAACAAACATGACAAGGATTAGTTTAATATAAATGAATGCAGAATAATACTTGGATAACTCCTGATTTGTCACTGTAACTCAGGATGCTCATGGGTCAGCAAAACTAGTGAGAGGAAGATCAGGATACAGTGAGAGGAAGGTCAGGATATACCTTGAGTGAGAGGAATGCCAGGATACACCTTGAGTGAGAGGAAGGTCAGGATACACCCTGAGTGAGAGGGTCAGGATACACCCTGAGTGAGAGGGTCAGGATACACCCTGAGTGAGAGGAAGGTCAGGATACACCCTGAGTGAGAGGAAGGTTAGGATACACACTGAAAGGAAGGTTAAGGTCAGTTCCCCCCCCACACACACACAGAGGAAGTGAGAGGAAGGTTAGGAGGAAAGAATGTGAGAATCAGATAATGCAGACTCAGCAGAAAATATTCAGGTGAGCAGAAGAATGGCAGTGTCACAGCCAGAGGTTTCAAGTGTCATTCTGCTGACAGTATCAGACAACTGCTGACAATAATCAAGACAAGATGAAGGATAAGTTCTTAATGCCATGTTTCACTCTATTTAGAGCATTACATTTCTAGGCACCGTATCTGTCCCACCGAAAGCTATTCCACAAATATCTTTTCCTTCAAGACAACAACAGACTTAACAAACAGCATTAAAAACAAAACAAAATTGACCAAAGTATTGGAATACAATCTTATGATACAACCAAGTACTGGAATACAGTCTGAAGATTCAACAAAGTACTGGAATACAGTCTTATGATTCAATAAAGTACTGGAATACAATCTTATGATACAACAAAGTACTGGAATACAATCTTATGATACAACAAAGTACTGAAATACAATCTTACGATACAACAAAGTACTGGAATACAATCTTATGATACAACAAAGTACTGGAATACAATCTTATGATACAACAAGGTACTCAAATACAATCTTATGATACAACAAGGTACTGGAAGGTTCTAATGGTAGAACAGAGGTAACCCTGGGTGTCTGAGGCCATAAAACTCACCATGTACATAATTAATAAATTTCTCTGTTAATCTGTGTTGTCTTTCACACACTGCCTGTACATCAAGAAACTAATGTCTGTACCTCACTCTGTTCACTCTAGGCCTTGTACAATGGTACAATCGATCTCTTCTTTCAACCAATTCTGATAATTGTTCTAATCTTGATAGATAAACTAATAAACAGACTTCATTAAAAGATAATACAGCAGCAACTACGTGATGATCATAATTGAATTATTAAGTGAGATCATCACACAAAGAACATACAATGCTGTATCTTACACATAACTAGTATAAGCATGTATCGGTGACAAGTTATAATTTATCCATGGATAAACTCACCCAAAAATACAGGAGGTCCTGTAACATATAAACAAGTTGTGTTCCTGGTTTTTCAACTAAAACAAAAAGACAAAAGAGTTGTTTGTATAGAATAGTACAAATGATGACTATGTTTCACACATGTCCACACATGTCCCTGTTTGTACAAGTAGATGTGTGTAATTTGGGGCATTTGTAAGTTGGGGCACCTTAAATAAGCATATTAATGTTGGGGTTACTTGAAACTTAACAGCCTATATGTAACATTGAGTAGCAGAAAAGAACAAGTGCCATATACTACAAATAATGGAGAAAAACACAGGTGTGGGGAAGATCAAAGCTGTGAAGCTCTTGTTACTGTACTCTGTCACAGAGCTCAGGCTATTCCTAACTTGCAAAGGGCAATATCTACACATTCCCAGAGACAAAACACTAAGAAATCACTATGTTCACTAACCCATATTTTAGTCATGGTGCTTAGTCCTTTCTGCCTCACAACGCCTCGTATGTCAAAAATGTCGCTTAAAATTGCTGCACTAGAAATTTAATCATTTGGTAATAAAGAGATTTCATTTAGCATAATACACAACTGCTCTAATTACCTGTTGGCCATGGTTGAGGTGAGAGGTTGAAAGAGTTCAGCTGCTCGACTAAGCTCCTGCACCTCACGTTGCTTTTGCCACTCGGTCATACTCTTAGGCTGAACCAAGTGGAACCTAGCTGAAGAAACGAATACTTTATGTAATTCTCTATTTGTATCTACATCACAATTTTATTTTAAAGATGTTTATAAGCAGTTCTTGGGTCTGCCCTTAACATGTGATTGACTAACTTTGGAAGAGGATAATTCATTATTGTAATTAATTATAATATAAAAGCATAAAATATACATGGGGTTGTAAAAGAAGTAAATGCTAGAGTGTTGGGGAGAGGGATGGGATTAATTTATGGGGAATCAAATACAAAATGGGAGTTGACACAGTTACTTTTTGCTGATGATACTGTGCTTTTGGGAGATTCTAAACAGAAGTTGCAAAAGTTAGTGGACGAGTTTGGGTGTGTAAAGGAAGAAAGTTGAAAGTGAACATAGATATGAGTAAAGTGATGAGGGTATCAAATGAGTTAGGTAAAGAAAAATTGGATATTACATTGGAGGGAAGGAGTATGGAAGAAGAGAATGTGTTCAGATATTTGGGAGTTGACTTGTCAGCGGATGGGTTTATGAAGGACGAGGTTACCCATGGAACTGATGAAGAAAAAAAGGTGAGTGGTGTGTTGAGGTATCTGTGGAGACAAAAAAATGCTTTCCATGGAGGCAAAGAAGGGAATGTATGAGAGTATAGTAGTACCAACACTCTTATATGGGTGTGAAGCATGGGTTGTAAATGCTGCAGCGAGGAGGAGGCTGGAGGCAGTGGAGATGTCATGTCTAAGGGCAATGTCTCACAAGGTACTGAGGAACAACTAGGTCAAGATCAGTCACTATATTAATAGTTAGACACTTAATGCCTTGCAAGGTATTAAGGAACAAGCAAGCCAAGGTAAGTCACTCTACACTACCAGTAAGATACCTAACAGCTCACAAGGTACTGAGAAACAACCAAAACAAGATCAGTCACTCTACACTACCAGTAAGATACCTAACAATTCACAAGGTACTGAAGAACAACCAAGCCAAGATCAGTCAATCTACACTACCAGTAAGATACCTAACAACTCACAGGGTACTGAGGAGCAAACTAGCCAAGGTAAATCACTCCATGCTACCTATAGGACACTTAGTGACTGATAATAAAACTCTCTAGATCAGAGGTCCTCAACCTTCCTACACAATTGGGTCACATTTGATGGTCAAATGTGTGATGAGGGCCACACAGTTTTGTTGACACTGTGCAGTGTGGAACCTACATAAAAGTGAATTCATAATTTCATGTGAGGGCTGCATCCAGTGGCGGCTCATCCACAGGACCTGCAGAGCTGCAGTCGCCCCAGATGCTCACTGTCAGATGTATGACTTCATCAACATTAAGCTAAAATAATTTGCAACTGACAAATATATTACAGGAAAAATCTGTTGTATGTTGTTTTCAATGTATTTATAAGCAAATTTTTAATGTTGTTGTTGAAACAAGAAAAAAAATTATTAAAAATAGTACAATAGTATAGGTATTACTGGCGTCACGAGCTTCCACTGGCTGCATCCATTTCCCAGAAGGGTCACATGCAGCCTGTGGGTCACTGGCTGGGGACCCATGCTCTAGATAATTAAGAAAAAAAAACTCTTATATAAAACAAATGGTAAGACTAACCTTCTTGGCTTCTTTCCTTCATTCTCAAGAAAAGATCATACCGCCGCTGTTTCTCTGGATCTTTCATGAAGGGTTTAAAGTCAGAATTGAATTTTGCATTAGAAATGTTAAATTCTTCATATATCTTGTCTACTTCATCTGTGTTAACATCTTTGGAGTAATCTCTGGGAGGGAGATGAACCTTCCCTTTGACCCCTGATCTCACCTGTAAAAGTCACCTCTCTTAAAAACATGTAACTTCTTGACTAATTAAAACAGCACTTTATTAAACAAAACTTATCAATTAATTAAATAGAAATATATTAAATATTTTTTATTTTTTTTTTATTATCACACTGGCCGATTCCCACCAAGGCAGGCTGGCCCGAAAAAGAAAAACTTTCACCATCATTCACTCCATCACTGTCTTGCCAGAAGGGTCCTTTACACTACAGTTTTTAAACTGCAACATTAACACCCCTCCTTCAGAGTGCAGGCACTGTACTTCCCATCTCCAGGACTCAAGTCCGGCCTGCCGGTTTCCCTGAATCCCTTCATAAATGTTACTTTCCTCACACTCCAACAGCACGTCAAGTATTAAAAACCATTTGTCTCCATTCACTCCTATCAAACACGCTCACGCATGCCTGCTGGAAGTCCAAGCCCCTCGCACACAAAATCTCCTTTACCCCCTCCCTCCAACCTTTCCTAGGCCGACCCCTACCCTGCCTTCCTTCCACTACAGACTGATCCACTCTTGAAGTCATTCTGTTTTGTTCCATTCTCTCTACATGTCCGAACCACCTCAACAACCCTTCCTCAGCCCTCTGGACAACAGTTTTGGTAATCCCGCACCTCCTCCTAACTTCCAAACTACGAATTCTCTGCATTATATTCACACCACACATTGCCCTCAGACATGACATCTCCACTGCCTCCAGCCTTCTCCTCGCTGCAACATTCATCGCCCATGCTTCACACCCATATAAGAGCATTGGTAAAACTATACTCTCATACATTCCCCTCTTTGCCTCCAAGGACAAAGTTCTTTGTCTCCACAGACTCCTTTTTCCCTCATCAATTCTATGATTCACCTCACCTTTCATAGACCCATCTGCTGACACGTCCACTCCCAAATATCTGAATACATTCACCTCCTCCATACCTCCCCCTCCAATTGATATCCATCTTTCATCCCCTAATTTTTTTTTTTTCCCTTCAAAAACCTTACTTTTTCCTGTAGTTTTCATTTTTTAAATTTTCTTTTTTTGCACCCCCTTCCAAATTCATCCCCCCAAAACCTTTTGCAACTTCTCTTAGAATCCCCCAAAGAGCCAGTTTTCATCAGCAAAGGGCAACTGTGCCCAACTCCCATTATGTGGGGTTTTTTCTTTATTTTTTTAACTCCAACCCTTTCCCAAAGCCCTCGCAGTTACTTCTCTTAAAACCCCCCATCTAAAAATTTACTGTATTTTAAAACCCCCCCCGGGTTTGACATACACATCCTTGTCAAAGGGGCCTACTTTTTACTGGGAAAATTTAATCCCCCCTTTTTCCTCCCTTACTCTAATTGACCCCCTCACTATCCTTTTTAAAAATCTTCCCTGCTTTCCCGAAACCCTTTACCTCCTACCCCCATACCCCGGCAACATCTGCCACATTCCCCCAAACTATCTACCCTGTCAATGCCTTTTAAAAAACCCATAAATGCCAAAAAAACCTCCTTTAGCCCTTTTTCTAAAAAATGTTCACTTACATTTTTTCATGTAAAACACCTGGTCCCCACACCCTCTACCTTTCCTAAAGCCTCCTTCTTAAACGCTATCCTATTTTCCGTCTTCCTTTAATTTTTTTCAATAATAACTTTGGTTTTCCCCGGTGGTTAACGCTCCTGCTTTACCGGTGGGGGCCTGGGGGTTTGAATTTCCCCGCCAGAGGGAAGGAAAAAAATTGGATGTGTTTCCTTTTAACCCGTTTTCTATTTTTCCCCCTTTAGTTTTAAAAAGGGTACCTGGGTGTTAGTCGGGCTGGTGTGGGTCGCACCGGGACACTGACCTAAGGAGGGCCCGGTCACAGACCCCGGGCCCCCGGGGGGGGTTGACCCCCGGAAATCTTCCAGGTTTAAACTCCCGATAAACCATTCACTTTTCCAGGGATACCCAACAGACTTAAACCCCCTATTTAAATTTTTTCACTCTCTTTTGTCCCCTTTACCTTTTCACAAAGGAAAATATGCATTGCTCTCTGCCAATCCCTAGGTACCTTACCCTCTTCCATACATTTATTAAATAATTGCACCAACCACTCCACAACTATATCCCACCTGCTTTTAACATTTCTATCTTTATCCCATCAATCCGGCTGCCTTACCCCCTTTCATTTTACTACTGCCTCACGAACTTCCCCACACTCACAACTGGCTCTTCCTCACTCCTACAAGATGTTATTCCTCTTGCCCTATACACGAAATCACAGCTTCCCTATCTTCATCAACATTTAACAATTCCTCAAAATATTCCCTCCATCTTCCCAATACCTCTAACTCTCCATTTAATAACTCTCCTCTCCTATTTTTAACTGACAAATCCATTTGTTCTCTAGGCTTCCTTAACTTGTTAATCTCACTCCAAAACTTTTTCTTATTTTCAACAAAATTTGTTGATAACATCTCACCCACTCTCTCATTTGCTCTCTTTTTACATTGCTTCACCACTCTCTTAACCTCTCTTTTTCTCCATATACTCTTCCCTCCTTGCATCACTTCTACTTTGTAAAAACTTCTCATATGCTAACTTTTTCTCCCTTATTACTCTCTTTACATCATCATTCCACCAATCGCTCCTCTTCCCTCCCGCACCCACTTTCTGTAACCACAAACTTCTGCTGAACACTCTAACACTACATTTTTAAACCTACCCATACCTCTTCGACCCCATTGCCAATGCTCTCATTAGCCCATCTATCCTCCAATAGCTGTTTATTATCTTACCCTAACTGCCTCCTCTTTTAGTTTATAAACCTTCACCTCTCTCTTCCCTGATGCTTCTATTCTTTTTGTATCCATCTACCTTTTACTCTCGTGTAGCTACAACTAAAAAGTGATCTGATATATCTGTGGCCCCTCTATAAAAATGTACATCCTGAAGTCTACTCAACAGTCTTTTATCTCCAAAAACATAATCCAACAAACTACTGTCATTTTGCCCTACATCCTCTTTTTCTTAAAATATGAATTACTTATAACTAAACCCCTTTCTATACAAAGTTCAATCAAAGGGCTCTCTTATCATTTTCACCTGGACCCCAAAAATTACCACCACCCCCTCCTAAAAATTTCTCCCATTTAGCATTCAGGTCCCTTTTCCCCAATTACTCTCTCACTTGGGTTTAAAAGGGTTCCCATACATTTATTAACATTCCCAAAAACTCTCTCTCTCCTCTACTTCCTCTCTTCTCCAGGGGATACAGTTATTATGACGGCTTTTCACATCCAACCCTTTTCTTTAAACACATAAATTTTTGAATTTACACATTCATTTTCTTTTTCCTTCCCTAATGATCCTTCAAAATTATGCTACCCTTCCTTTGCTTAATCTCTCAGAACTCCAGATTTAATCCCTTTTTTTTCCCCCCCCGAAACTCCCCCACCCTTTTAGCTTTGTTTCGTTAGGGCCAGGACATCCAACTTCTTTTCGTTCATAAAAATCAGCAATAATCTGTTTCTTGTATCCGCATCATCCACGCACTTCAAGCAACCGTTTTTAAAGGTTTTTTTTTCTTTCTCTTTTAGTAAATTCTAAGGAGAAGGGTTTTCTAGCCCCTCGCTCCCGGCTTTTAATCGCCCCATTGCACGCATGGTTAGGGGGAAAGATTCTTTTCCCCTTCCCCATGGACAAAAAGAAAAAAAAAAGAAGAACAAGAGCTATTTAGAAAAAAAAAGAAAAACCAGATGTATGTATTTTTTTTTTTTTTTTTTTTTTTTTTTATTATCACACTGGCCGATTCCCACCAAGGCAGGGTGGCCCGAAAAAGAAAAACTTTCACCATCACTCACTCCATCACTGTCTTGCCAGAAGGGTGCTTTACACTACAGTTTTTAAACTGCAACATTAACACCCTCCTTCAGAGTGCAGGCACTGTACTTCCATCTCCAGGACTCAAGTCCGGCCTCCCGGTTTCCCTGAACCCCTTCATAAATGTTACTTTGCTCACACTCCAACAGCACGTCAAGTATTAAAAACCATTTGTCTCCATTCACTCCTATCAAACACGCTCATGCATACCTGCTGGAAGTCCAAGCCCCTCGCACACAAAACCTCCTTTACCCCCTCTCTCCAACCTTTCCTAGGCCGACCCCTACCCCGCCTTCCTTCCACTACAGACTGATACACTCTTGAAGTCATTCTGTTTCGCTCCATTCTCTCTACATGTCCGAACCACCTCAACAACCCTTCCTCAGCCCTCTGGACAACAGTTTTGGTAATCCGCACCTCCTAACTTCCAAACTACGAATTCTCTGCATTATATTCACACCACACATTGCCCTCAGACATGACATCTCCACTGCCTCCAGCCTTCTCTCGCTGCAACATTCATCACCCATGCTTCACACCCATATAAGAGCGTTGGTAAAACTATACTCTCATACATTCCCCTCTTTGCTCCAAGGACAAAGTTCTTTGTCTCCACAGACTCCTAAGTGCACCACTCACTCTTTTTCCCTCATCAATTCTATGATTCACCTCATCTTTCATAGACCCATCCGCTGACACGTCCACTCCCAAATATCTGAATACATTCACCTCCTCCATACTCTCTCCCTCCAATCTGATATTCAATCTTTCATCACCTATCTTTTTGTTATCCTCATAACCTTACTCTTTCCTGTATTCACCTTTAATTTTCTTCTTTTGCACACCCTACCAAATTCATCCACCAATCTCTGCAACTTCTCTTCAGAATCTCCCAAGAGCACAGTGTCATCAGCAAAGAGCAGCTGTGAAAAACTCCCCTTTGTGTGTGATTCTTTATCTTTTAACTCCACGCCTCTTGCAAGACCCTCACATTTATTTTCTCTTACAACCCATCTATAAATATATTAAACAACCACAGTGACATCACACATCCTTGTCTAAGGCTACTTTTACTGGGAAATAATTTCCCTCTTTCCTACATACTCTAACTTGAGCCTCACTATCCTCGTAAAAACTCTTCACTGCTTTCAGTAACCTACCTCCTACACCATACACTTGCAACATCTGCCACATTGCCCCCTATCCACCCTGTCATTTGCCTTTTCCAAATCCATAAATGCCAGGGAAGACCTCTTTAGCCTTATCTAAATACTGTTCACTTATATGTTTCACTGTAAAACCTGGTCCACACACCCCCTACCTTTCCTAAAGCCCCCTTGTTCATCTGCTATCCTATTCCCCGTCTTACTCTTAATTCTTTCAATAAAAAACTCTACCATACACTTTACCAGGTATACTCAGCAGACTTATCCCCCTATAATTTTTGCACTCTCTTTTATCCCCTTTGCCTTTATACAAAGGAACTATGCATGCTCTCTGCCAATCCCTAGGTACCTTACCCTCTTCCATACATTTATTAAATAATTGCACCAACCACTCCAAAACTATATCCCCACCTGTTTTTAACATTTCTATCTTTATCCCATCAATCCCGGCTGCCTTACCCCCTTTCATTTTACCTATTGCATGTGCGTGTCTGTGAAGTGTGACCAAAGTGTAAGTAGGAGTAGCAAGATACCCTGTTATCTAGCGTGTTTATGAGACAGAAAAAGAAACCAGCAATCCTACCATCATGCAAAACAGTTACAGGTTTCTGTTTCACAGTCATCTGGCATGACGGTAGTACTTCCCTGGGTGGTTGCTGTCTACCAACCTACTACCTACACCTATATAAATCAATTAAAATAGTAATTTATTAAACAAGGCTTATAAATTAATCAGTAGAGTACTGACATTATATCATTGTTATATTTTCCAACTAAGTGGGTAGACATAAGCAACTTTGGGAATCTGTATGCCAGAGGACCCCTATACTTCCTTCCTAATACATGTGTCACAGGGAACTAAAATGCCAGTGATGAGGAGATTGTTACCTCTTTCTCCGTAATTTATAGTAAAAAAAGCTGAAGGCGATGTGAATTTTCTTCTTGGATGATTAGTTAAAAAAAATTATTGTAGTAGTAGGTTGGTAAACAGCAACCGCCCAGGGAGGTACTACTGTCCTGCCAAGTGAGTGTACAACGAAAACCTGTAATTGTTTTACATGATGGTAGGATTGCTGGTGTCTTTTGTCTGTCTCATAAACATGCAAGATTTCAGGTATGTCTTGTTACTTCTACTTACACTTAGGTCACACTACACATACATGTACAAGCATATATATACACACCCCTCTAGGTATTCTTCTATTTTCTTTCTAGTTCTTGTTCTTGTTTATTTCCTCTTATCTCCATGAGGAAGTAGAACAGAATTCTTCCTCCGTAAGCCATGCGTGTTGTAAGAGGCGACTAAAATGCCGGGATCAAGGGGCTAGTAACCCCTTCTCCCGTATAAATTACTAAATTTAAGAGAAACTTTCGTTTTTCTTTTTGGGCCACCCTGCCTTGGTGGGATACGGCCAGTATGTTGAAAGAAAGATTACTTTACTACTGCAATATCATCTAGGTTACAGGTCCTCTTCTAACAGCTTAAGAATTTATAAACAGCTGTGTATCCAATTACAATACTGTTCCTAAGTGTAGCCTCAGTCAAGAAACTTAATGATACGTACTGTACAGAAAGTAATGCTAATTTTACATTTTTTTTTTAATACAGTGGCCATCTCCCACCGAGGCAGGATGACTCAAAAAAGAAACAATTTCACCATCATTCACACATAATCACTGTCTTTACAGAGGCACTCAGATATGACAGTTTACATGTCACTCCAAACAGACAATATCCCAACCCCCCTCCTTTAAGGTGCAGGCATTGTAATTCTCACCTCCAGGACTCAGGTCCAGCCAACTGGTTTCCCCGAATCGTTTCACAAACTATTACCCTGCTCACACTCCAACAGCTCATCAGGTCCCAAAAACCATTTGTCTCCATTCACTCCTATCAAACACACATACACAGGTCTGTTTCATGTTCAGGCCCCTCGAATACAAAATCTCTTTTACCCCCTCTCTCCATCCTTTCCTAGGATGACCCCTACCCCTCCTCCCCTCCGCTATGGATTTATACACCCTCCAAGTCATCCTATTTTGCTTCATCCTCTCTAATAGCCAAACCATCTCAACAACCCCTCTTCAGCCCTCTGAATAATTATTTTAGTAAATCCACACTTCCTAATTTCCACACTACAAATTCTCTGCATAATATTTACACCACACACTGCCCTTAGACACAACATCTCTACTGCCTCCAGCCTCCTTCTATGGTTTACCTCATTCTTTATAAACCCATCTGCTGACAAGCTAACTCCCAAATATCTGAGCACATTCACTTTTTCCATACTCCCTCCCTCCAATGTGATATCCAATTTTTCTTTACCTAACACATTTTATATCCTCATCACCTTACTCTTATCTATCTTCACTTTCAACTTTCTTCTTTTACATAACCCTCAACAGTAAAACCTTATTCATGGCTTTCACATCCAGAAAACGTGATCATTCATATTATTCGATCGTTCACAGGTTTTTGCAAGTACAGTACCTGCAGGTCCTAGCAGCCAGTGTGCCTGAATTAAAACATAAATATATGAAGGAAACATAATAATAGTTCATATAATGTGCAAATGGTCATACAGGTGGATTTCATTTATTTTGCTATGAAATACAAGCAGGCCCTGCTTTACAGCTCTTCGCTTTACAGTATTTTGCTAATACAGCAGTTTTCAATTACAGCCATTCCTCACTTAACAACGGAGTTCTATTCCTAAGACCACATCAGTAAACGAATTAGTCGCTAAGCAAGGAGCATAATATAATAGAAGTGAGTTTGTGTCAGCCATCTTTGATACTATTTTAATGTCACCTTTGCACCATTTATAACATTTTTAGTATATTTTTAAATGTTTATACAGTAGTGTACTGTATTTTGTAATAAACAAAATAGAGGAAATCAGCGCTATTATTTAGGTATGTATACTAGTCAGAGAGCCCGTCGTAAGTCCAAGTCATCGGTAAACGGCCAGATTTGAAGGCATTAGAATTTTGGCATAGTATTACGGGACCAACGTTGGCTTGCAAGCCGTAATATTACAGGACTGACAGTGAAAGGGTTAAAACCGCAGTTTCCGAGAACCTATCAAAGATGTTAAGTGAGGACTTCCTGTATATAGAGCCTCTCCTTACCTAGCAACGTACTCGTTTACCAACAACTCAGACTTACAACGGACTCTCTGACAAGTAAGCATACCTAAATAATGTATATTAGAGCCGATTTTCTCTATTCTATTTATTACAATATACAGTATACTGCTGCATGAACATTTAAAAATATAAAAGAAATGTTATAAATGGTGCAAAGGTGACATTCAAACAATATCAAAGATGGTTGACACAACCTATTACTATTATAGTATGCACCTCACTTAGTGATGAATTCACTTACCAATGTAGTCTTAGGAACAGAATTTCATCGTTAAGTGAGAAGAGGCTGTAACTGGGCTGCACCATATCTGATAGCTGCAATGGTACTATATAATTGGGCTGGGGAGCTTCAGAAACATGGCACCATAATTCTGATACAATGGTACTATATAACTGGGTTGGGCTTCATACACATTGTACAATAAATCTAATAGATGCAATGGTAATATATAAATGTGTGAGGAGTTCATAAATACTGTACAATAACTCTAATAGATGCAACAGTAGTATATAACTGGACTGGGGGCTTCATTAACAATGTATCATAAAATACCTCCACAGTAGTCTTGGGTTGCAGTGTAATACTTCGTGCTCGTTGCTCAGCAGTCATGTCATGTCTTCCCAGCCCACGCATCTCACTTTCCTTCCTCTCAAACCTGAACATCAACAAAAAATATAATAACTAATGTTTCAGCAACACTGAGTATATAATACAAACCAGAAAAAATATGCATAGAAATATCTAACTTATTGAAATATCACACAATCCAACTACAACTAAAATATAAATGCAGTTTCAACACATCAAAATACATTGTTCAGAGGTTGATAGAAGAATTTGGGAGAGCATAAAAAAAGAAGGAAATTAAAAGTGAATGTAGGAAAGAGCAAGGTAATGAGTAACAAAAAACCTAGGTAATGAAAGACTGAATATCAGAATGGGAGAAGAGAGTAAGGACGAAGTAAATGTGCTTAGATATTTGGAAGTGGATTTGTGGGGCAGATGGGTCCATGAAAGACAGTAGGGAACATGATACTGTTATATGGGTGTGAAGCCTCAAAGGGTTTAAGACATTGCAGGCAAGAGGAGGCTGGAGGCAGTGGAGATGTCATGTTCGAGAGAAATGTGTAGTGCGATTATGCATAGAATTCAGAGCTAGGAAATTAGAAAGTATGGGGTTACCAAAATGTATTATTCGAAGAGCACATGATGGGTTGTTGAGGTGGGTTGGACATTTTGAGAGGATAGAGAAAACAGGATAACTAGGAGAGCATATAAATCTGGGATATGCCCTCCTAGTCATCATCTAGGGTGGAGGGAAAGAAGGGTAGAGGTCATCTCAGGACAGGTTGGACAGGTTGAGGTGGGTTGGACATTTTGAGAGGATAGAGAAAACAGGATAACTAGGAGAGCATATAAATCTGGGATATGCCCTCCTAGTCATCATCTAGGATGGAGGGAAAGAAGGGTAGAGGTCATCTCAGGACAGGTTGGAGGGAGGGGTTTAAGAAAGGTTTTTAGTGCTTAAGGGTTGGATATCCAACAGGCCTGTGTGAGCATGTTAGAGAGGAATGAATGAAGGCATGTGGTTTTTGTAACTTGATTTGTTGTTGGAGTGTGAGCAAAGAAACCAAATTTGAGTCCTGAAAGTGGAAAGAACTGTACCTGAATTCTGGGGAAGGAGTGGGGATGTTGCAGTTTAGAGGGTCATCTAAAGTGTGAACTTTTCACTTTTCTGGGGAAACAGAGATTGAGTGAACAATGGAGAAAGTGTTTCTTGTATTTTGGGTCACCTTCTCTCAGTGGGAGGTATTGTTTAAAAAAATGCAAACTTGGTTGTCTCAATTGCAAAACTGCACTGTACAGTGGAACCTCGACATACAAGTGTCCCAACATACGAGTTTTTCAAGATATGAGCCAGTGCTCAGTCAATTTTTTGCTTGAGTTATGAGCCAGCATCCGAGTTACAAGCAAGCTTTTCCCACTTCCCCCTCAACCCACAGCCCCACACCTCGCTTGTTTATCTATGATTTCATGCTTTAATTCAATGGAAAACATCCTCTTTTTCTCCTCAACACTGTCCTTTACACTTACTTTCTTAGGACTCATGGTTAGAAAAAAGAAATTTGGCCAAATGACTAAAAAATGCAAGCAAACACAAGAGAATTCCTTCCACAGCAAGGTCAACAGTGTGCTGGCTGCACAAACTAGTGATAGTGTTCTGAAGCTCCTCTTATTATTATTATTATTATTATTATTATTATTATTATTATTATTATTATATTATTATTATTATTATTATTTATTTAGAGAACTGGAGCACAGATCCAATTCCCTAGATCAAGAGCCCCTCACCAGCGTCAAGGTTCCTTGACACTGGTGAGGGGCTCTTGATCTAGGGTATTGGATCTGTGCCCCAGTTCCCTAAATTAACCCTTTCAGGGTTTCGGCCATACTAGTACGGCTTATGCGCCAGGGTTTTTGACGTACTAGTACGCCTCAATTCTAGCACCCTCAAATCTAGTGAGAGAAAGCTGGTACGCCTACATATGAAAGAATGGGTCTATGTGGTGTGCGTGGTATAAAAAAATCCTGCAGCACACAGTGCGTAATGAGAAAAAAAAGCTTTGTGTTTTTTAATTAAAACGGCGACTTTGCACTGTATTTTCGTATGGTATTTATTGTTGTATACTAGTTTTCCTAGTCTCATTTTATAGAATTGAAGACATTACAGAAATTGAGACGATTTTGACTGGTTTTACAAAGAAAAGTACCTTGAAATTGAGCTCAAAGTAGCAGAAATGTTCGATTTTTACCAAAGTTCAAAAGTAAACAAATTATGCTATGCGTCCAATACACGTCAACTGGTGAGTCTAATATTCTTTCATAAGTGCGCTGATATTATTTATACCATTTCTACACCAAAGCAGTAGTCTGCATAACAGTAAATCTTCTATTTTTTTGTGAGAGTAAAAATTCAAAGTGGAAAGCAAAAGAATGTAAGAGAGGCATGGGGACATGACTAATGAACAGAGGAAATGTTATTTTAGTGCCAGGAATGTCTTTCTTGTTTATTCTGGACCCTATTCAGAAATTGGCATCTTTTGAAATTTGTGTGAAATAGGCAAAATTGCTAAATTCTGACCGCTGTATTGGATCGTTGAAATCGGTAAATGGGTGGTTTCTTGTACTCATTCGATAGAAAAAAATGGAGTTGTAGCAAAATAGTTATGAGTTTTGTCAACAAGTACACTGGAATTGGCCAAAAATAGGGCTCAAAGTGGGCAAAATCGCAGACGCGTAAACATCGTCGAGACCGTTAACTTCACGAGAGCATAATTCCCTAAGTTTTCCATCATATTTCATACTTTTGGTGTCATTATGATCGCAAAAAGATTCTCTATCTTTTCAAAAGAAAAAATAATGTTTTTTTTTTTTTTAATTTGGCCGACCCTGAGAACAAGTCTCTGAGAGGGCCTGTCGACCTTGAAAGGGTGAATAATTTATTTATTTATTTATTTATTTATTTATTTACAATTTGAGCACACATACAGAGGTACAAAAAAAATACAGATAAGAGCAGCATGCCAAAGCCACTTATACTATGCATAGCATTACGGGCTGGCTTAAAATTAACTTAAGATTAACTAAGCAATGATGAAATCAGTGATAAAACATTAATGTAAACAGATTACTATAAAGCACAAGTGAGTATTACAAAGACAGGTCATATGGTTGCATGCATTGTTGTACATTCAGTCGTATGGAGAATTCTGTTAGGTAGTATATTTAAAAAATAGTAAAGTTAGATTGGGTTTTAGGTTTAACATTTATGTGATATAATTGTGAGAAACATTTAAGATATACAACTTATAAGGTTCAGTTATTCAGTATTTATTTGGTTTTGGGTGAGTAAGTGATCTTTGAGAAGAGACTTGAATTTATAAACAGGTAGTGTTTCTTTTATATTTACAGGTAATGAATTCCAGATTTTAGGGCCTTTTATGTGCATTGAGTTTTTGCATAGTGTGAGATGGACACGAGGAACATCAAAGAGTGATCTGTGCCTTGTGTTATGGTCATGTGTTCTGTTGAGGTTGGCAAGGAGATGTTTGAGGGGAGGGTTAATATCAGAGTTAAGTGTTCTATGTATGTAATAGGTGCAGTAATAAGTATGGATGGTTTGTATGGTGAGTAGGTTTAGTGTATTGAATATTGGTGGAGTGTGCTGCCTGTAGTGAGAATTTGTTATCATTCTAACTGCAGCCTTTTGTTGGGTAATTAGTGGTCTGAGATGGTTAATTGTTGTTGAGCCCCATGCACAAATTCCATAGGTGAGATAGGGGTAAATAAGAGAGTGATATAGGGCCAGGAGGGCTGACTGTGGAGCATAGTACCGTATCTTCGATAGTATGCCTACAGTCTTGGAAATTTTTTTAGAAATTTGTTGTATATGTGTATGAAATTTGTCTATTATCAAGGTGGATTCCTAAGAATTTTCCCTCTGTTAGCTTTGTGATAGGAGATCCGTTTATCATTATGTTAAGAGGGACATCTGTAGCTCTGTTATCAAACTGAATGAAGTAGGTTTTGTCAATGTTTAGTGTAAGTTTGTTAGTCCTCATCCAGGTAGATATTTTCTGTAATTCGGTATTTACAGTATTGGCTAGCGTGACTGGGCTCGGGTGGGAGAAGACGTATGTAGTGTCATCTGCAAATAGTGTGGGTTTGAGTAATTGCGAAGCATTTGGTAGGTCATTTATGTATAGGAGAAAGAGAAGAGGGCCAAGGACACTTCCTGTGGGACACCAACTGTAATTGGTTGTGCAGAAGAGTTTGCCCCATTTGCGTACACATATTGGCTTCTGTTGCTGAGGTATGACTTGAGGTAGTTGAGGGAGTGCCCTCTTATACCATAGTGTGACAATTTTACGTGGAGCAAGTCATGGTCAACTGTATCAAAAGCTTTACGTAAGTCAATGAAGATCCCCAGTGGGACTTCTTTTTTCTCTATTGCAGTGTATATATGTTCTAGCATGTGTATAATAGCATCATTAGTATTTTTATTAGGCCTGAATCCAAATTGGCAGGGGTTGAGTATGTTTTGGGAGATAAGGTAGGAGTAGATTCGTTTATGAATTAATTTTTCGAAGATTTTTGAGAGAGGGTTTAAGTTGGATATTGGCCTATAGTTATTCAACTCTGTTTGGTCTCCTCCTTTGTGGATTGGGGTGACCCTTGCTATTTTGAGTACTGTAATAATAATATTATTTATTTTAACACACTGGCCGATTCCCACCAAGGCAGGGTGGCCCGAAAAAGAAAAACTTTCACCATCATTCACTCCATCACTGTCTTGCCAGAAGGGTCCTTTACACTACAGTTTTTAAACTGCAACATTAACACCCCTCCTTCAGAGTGCAGGCACAGTACTTCCCATCTCCAGGACTCAAGTCCAGCCTGCCGGTTTCCCTGAATCCCTTCATAAATGTTACTTTGCTCACACTCCAACAGCATGTCAAGTATTAAAAACCATCTGTCTCCATTCACTCCTATTAAACACGCTGGAAGTCCAAGCCCCTCGCACACAAAACCTCCTTTACCCCCTCCCTCCAACCTTTCCTAGGCCAACCCCTACCCCGCCTTCCTTCCACTACAGACTGATACACATAATAATAATAATAATAATAATGATATTATAATAATAATTATTATTATTATTATTATTATTATTATTATTATAATAAGAGTGTAGCAAGTAAGTTAAGTGATTAAACGATAGAAAAAGGACAAAACAAAACTAACTCCTCCAACATTGTTGAAGGTTTATAGAGCCACTGACATCATATGCCACACTGCCTCTCCCACCCTGAACCTTCGCCACCATCTCTGCTCCAAGTGTGTAAGTAGTATACACTTTATATAAACAGTTTATTTCTCTACATTCTCTATTATGTTTCATTATGTTTTTATACAATATTTCTTATTTATAAATACAATGTTTCAGTGTTTTCCTTAGGAAACTAGTGATCTACTGCATTTAGCCTCACAAACACACTGTTTTCTCTTATAATAAGAGCATGGGAAGATACTATAGTCAGAGTGGGAGAGGAAATGGCGGATGCTGCCGCCACTGCCGCCACCACCATCACTCACCATATTATGGCCTATTTTATTCATTCTTGAGTATATACCATGTTTCTGTGTTAATTATATTGTTTATTATGTCATGTTAGATGAATTTTGATAGATAAATAAGCCAAAGAGTTGATATTAGCATCATATTCAAGTATTTTGTCCCACCTCCAGAGAGTAGGAATTCCACTGGAACAGATTCATGGCATTTCAATTAATTTAACCCTTAAACGGTCCAAACAGATCGACGTTCAAATTCGTAGTGCTACAAAAGTAGATCTACTTTTTTTTACATATTTTCAAATATAACAAAAAAAATGTAGATAAAAGTTTTTTTTACACGTTTTCACATGTAAAACAAACAAAAAATCTACATTTTTTTACATACTTTCAGATGTTGAAAAAACGTATATATACGTTTGGACCATTTAAGGGTTAAATGAGGAAAATTTATTTGACATACGAGCAAACTGAGTTACAAGCTAGGTCACGGAACAGATTAAACTCGTAAGTTGAGGTTCCACTGTATTTCCTTACCTTCGTTTGAATGGCTGGTGCACAGGTACAAAATCCTTGGGCATGGTGGGCCGTGGGTAGACTCTGTGTTGCTGATGTGTTTTGCTGCTAAGTGTAAATCCTTCAATAACTTCTATTAAGCCATGTATAGACTGAGGAAAAATGGGTAGTTTAAATCAGAAACACATGTCAATAATAACACTGTAATGTTAAAGCCCCATACATCTCTCTGGTCATATTCTGTAGCTCTTGCATTTGCTCCCTCACTAAAAGGGTGTTGCAAACCATCAAATAAAATCATCATATTTGACATTCATATGCCACATGCTATTTCAACTTTAATAATAATGAAATAAACGAACACCAAAACTTGGGATGAATCCTGGCCAGTGGCCTTCTAAACTTGTGATCTTAACAAAAAAAAATAGAGTTAATACAGTACCCCCCACATAAGAATGGGGCAAAAACTTATGGTGCAGGCAGGAATAACAGGGAATGTATGTCATTGGATCAAAGAGCACCTCAAAGGAAGGAGGCAGAGTGATTGTCTGGGTACAGACATCAGAATGAAGAAGTGTAACAAGCGGAGTGATGCAAGGATCAGCATTAGGGCCACTATGGTATCAGATTTATGTGAATGATATTCCAGATGCAAATGAATCAGATGTACATCCCTGTTTGCTGATAATATAAAACTGATGAGAATAAAAAGAAACAAAGAAAAGGAAAGGTTGCAAGTGGAACTGGGCAAACTGCAAGATAAGTCAAATAAGTGGTTGCTTGAATTCAACACCAGCAAATGAAAGGTCATGAAAAAATGAGGAAAGGGGACAGAGGACCAGACATAGTGTATTTAGGGGAAGAGAGTTTGAAGACCTCACTCATAGAGAAAGACCTAGGCATGAACATAGTGCAGACAGTAATGTATCAGTTAGGTGCCCCTTGTACATATACCATTAAATGTTATGTCTGTGTATGCAATATTCCAGCTGTTGGGCATCAGTGCCCAAGGGTGAGACCAGATCAGGTAAGTTCAAACACAGGAGCCATAGCGTGTGGATGTGCCACTGCTCACTCTGTAGCCACATTAACTAGTACAGCCTCTCCTCACTTAACGACGGAGTTCTGTTCCTAAGACCATGTCAGTAAACAAATTCGTTGCTAAGCAAGAAGCATATTATAATGGTAGTGGGTTTGTGTCAACCATTTCTGATATTGTTTTAATGTCACCTTTGAACCATTTATAACATTTTTAGCATATTTTTAAATGTTTATACAGTAGTGTACTGTACTATATTGTAATAAACAGAATAGAGGAAATCAGCTCTAATATACATTATTTAGGAATGCATACTGGTCAGAGAGCCCATCATAAGTCCGAGTCGTCGGTAAATGTTAAGTGAGGAGAGGTTCGTATGTAGAAAGCCCCTTGTTATGCAGAGCATTTTGGGCAAATTAGGTCAATTTCGTCCCAGGATGTGACCCACACCAGTCGACTAACACTCAGGTACCCATTTTACTGATAGGTGAACACCGGACAACAGGTGTCACGTCCTAATGTTTCCAACTGTACCTGGAATCGATCCCCAGACCTCACTGTGTGAGCCGAGAGGGCTAGCGATCAAGCTACGGGATACCTAATGGACTATACAATACAAAATACAGTGGACCCTCGACTAATGCTATTAATCCGTTCCTGAGAGCTCATCGTTAGTCAAAATTATCGTTAGTCAAGTTAATTTTCCCCCATAAGAAATAATGGAAATCAAATTAATCCATGCAAGACACCCAAAAGTATTGAAAAAAAAATTTTTAACACATGAAATATTAATTTTAATACACACAAACTGAAGAAGACATGCACAGTTACATGACACTTACCTTTATTGAAGATCTGGTGATGATTGATGGGATGGGAGGAGGGGAGAGTGTTGATGGTGTTAGTGTTTAGAAGGGGAATCCCCTTCCATTAGGACTTGAGGGGGCAAATCCTTTTTCGGGGTTACTTCCCTTCTTTTAATGCCACTAGGACCAGCTTGAGAGTCACTGGACCTCTGTCGCACAACATATCTGTCCATAGAGGCCTGTACCTCCCGTTCCTTTATGACATTCCTAAAGTGTTTCACAACATTGTCAGTGTCACAATTAAACACTTGTTCAGGTTTCAATTCTTCATTGTCTATGTACTCCTTGAATTCCTGCACATATTTTTCAGCAGCTTTTTGGTCCAAACTGGCAGCCTCACCATGCCTTATCACACTATGTATGCCACTACGATTCTTAAATCTCTCAAACCAACCTTTGCTGGCCTTAAATTCACTCACATCACCACTAGTTGCAGGCATTTTTCTAATTATATCCTCATGCAACTTCCTAGCCTTTTCACATATGATCGCTTGAGAGATGCTATCTCCTGCTATCTGTTTTTCGTTTATCCACACCAATAACAGTCTCTCAACATCTTCTATCACTTGCGATCTCAGTTTCAAAAACATAGTTGCACCTTTGGCAAGAACAGCTTCCTTGATTGCCGTTTTCTTGGCCACAATAGTAGCGATGGTTGATTGGGGTTTTTGTACAGCCTGGCCAGCTTGGAGACACGCACTCCACTTTCATACTTAGCAATGATCTCTTTCTTCATATCCATAGTAATTCTCACCCTTTTTGCTGTAGGGTTGGCACTAGAATCTTTCTTGGAGCCAATGGTGACTTATTTTGCAGGTGCAATCACTAAAAAGGCTGTGATAATATGAAATGTTCCAATTGTATGCTTGGAAGCGACCGCGGTGGCTGGCTGGCTTGTAAACACTGGCCAGAAGTAGACGCATCTCAGACGGAACGAATAGTGTTGGTCGAGTTTTTTAGCGCTAGTCGAAGCAAAATTTTTGCGTTAAAATGTATCGCTGGTCGGATTTATCATTAATCGATGCCATCGTTGATTGAGGGTCCACTGTACTACAGGATAATATACAAAACAGGATAACATACAATACAGGATTACATATACAGTGGACCCCCCGGTTCGCGATATTAATCCGTTCCTGAGAGCTCATCGTAAACCAAAATTATCAGAAAGTGAATCAATTTTCCCCATAAGAAATAATGGAAATCAAATTAATCCGTGCAAGACACCCAAAAGTATGAAAAAAAAAAAACAAATATTAAGTTTAATGCACACAAACTGAAGAAAACATGCACAGCTTGTAGTATGTACTCCACTAAGAATAGAATACATGACACTTACCTTTAATGAAGATCTGGTGATGATTGATGGGATGGGAGGAGGGGAGAGTGTTGAACCTATTGTTTAGAAGGGGAATCCCCCTCCATTAGGACTTGAGATAGCAAGTCCTTTTCTGGGGTTACTTCCCTTCTTCTTTTAATGCCACTAGGACCAGCTTGAGAGTCACTGGACTTCTGTCTCACAACATATCTGTCCATAGAGGCCTGTACCTCTCGTTCCTTTATGACTTTCCTAAAGTGGTTCACAACAGTGTCATTGTACAGGTTGCCAACACGGCTTGCAGTAGATGTCTGAGGGTGATTTTCATAAAAAACTTTGCACTTCAAGCCACTTTGCACACATTTCCCTAATCTTTGAAGTAGGCAACTTCTTCACTTTATCCATCCCCTCCTCCGAAGCAGTTTCCTCAGGTCTGGCCTCTTGCTGTTGAAGATGATCTAGCAGCTCATCAGTGGTTAGTTCGTCATTGTCCTCCTCCATCAATTCTTCCACATCCTCCCCACTAACCTCCAACCCCAAGGACTTCCCCAATGCCACAATGGATTCCTCAACTGGCATAGGCTTCTTTGGGTTAGCCTCAAACCCTTCGAAATCCCTTTTGTCTACACATTCTGGCCACAGTTTTTTCCAGGCAGAGTTCAAGGTCCTCTTAGTCACTCCCTCCCAAGCCTTACCTATAAGGTTTACATAATTGAGGATATTAAAGTGATCCTTCCAAAACTCCTTTAGAGTCAATAGAGTGTCTGTGGTCACTTCAAAGCACCTTTCAAACATAGCTTTTGTGTACAGTTTCTTGAAGTTGGAAATGACCTGCTGGTCTATGGGCTGCAGGAGAGGAGTGGTATTAGGAGGCAAAAACTTGACCTTAATGAAGCTCATGTCCCCAGAAAGTCGCTCTGCCAAGTCTGTAGGATGACCAGGGGCATTGTCTAATACCAGGAGGCACTTAAGGTCTAATTTCTTTTCAATTAGGTAATTTTTCACATTGGGGCAAATGCATGGTGTAACCAGTCATAGAAAAAGTCCCTAGTGACCCATGCCTTACTGTTTGCCCTCCACAGCACACACAAATTAGCCTTGAGGATATTCTTTTGCCTGAACGCTCTGGGAGTTTCTGAGTGATACACCAATAAAGGCTTCACTTTGCAATCACCACTAGCATTGGCACACATCAGAAGAGTAAGCCTGTCTTTTACAGGCTTATGTCCTGGGAGTGCCTTTTTCTCCTGAGTAATGTAGGTCCTGCTTGGCAATTTCTTCCAAAACAGGCCTGTGTCGTCGCAATTAAACACTTGTTCAGGTTTCAAGTCTTCACTGTCTATGTAATCCTTGAATTCCTTCACATATTTTTCAGCTGCTTTTTGGTCTGAACTGGCAGCCTCACCATGCCTAATCACACTATGTATGCCACTACGATTCTTAAATCTTTCAAACCAACCTTTGCAGGCCTTAAATTCACTCACATCACCACTAGCTGCAGGCAATTTCTTTACCAAATCGTCATGCAATTGCGGTCGCTGTTTTGTAATCACAGTTGCACCTTTTGCAACAACAGCTTCCTTGAGTGCCGTTTTCCTGGTCACTATAGTAGAGATGGTTGATTGGGGTTTTGTATACAACTTGGCCAGCTCCGACACACGCACTCCACTTTCGTACTTTGCAATTATCTCTTTCTTCATTTCAATAGTCATTAGCACCCTTGGTCTTGAAGGGTTGGCATTAGAAGCTTTCTTGGGGCCCATGGTGACTTATTTTGCAGAAATAAGCACCAAAAACACTGTGATAATATGGAATGTACCGAATATATTCTTAGATGCGAGCACACTGGCTGGCTTGTAAGCAATGGCACACACGGGACAGTTCAGGCCACACGTGGACACATCTCGGACGAATCGCGTATACCGGGTT